GACGACTACGAAAAAAAATTTGCTAAATAATCGGAATTTTTTCATATCGTTCAACGAATGATTGAACTTGTTTTTTTCATATGTCGGAGGAACCGGGGTAATGGTACTAAGAGACTTCATTATTATAGTATATATGTGATGATAACACACTGCTGAAAGCGATAATAAATCCAAACAAAATGCAAATAGCCGTGCACGCGTCACCTATATCCAAAAATAGGTAATCCATCATGCAGTAATCATGTATTATTGATAACATCAATCTGTAACATCACCGACACACAGTTATACCATACAACCCACCATATCAGCAGATGGAAAATTATTGTCACCTCTCTTCATTATTTACAAGGAACCTTCCGGAAAGTTTGGTCCAAGGGTTCAGGAGAATCTATTCAGACCTTCTAATGTTTACATAACGGCTTCAAAGTCAGGGAAATTGACGTCTGGTAAGACGATATTTCAAACTTAAGACAATCCAATCATTTCTACTCACTTTCTACACTTTTGAAGGGCAAAATTTGTTTTTTCTGTTTTTTGAAATTCCCCGCCATTTTGGATGGGCTTAGGTGAGTCAAAATATATTTTTTTTGCGACTACACATGGGAAAGAAATCTCACAGAGACCCATTTTTTATTGCAGGACTTTCAAATTTCAGCAGCGTCCCCCCTCAATTGTTAGGTTAATGGAATCTCTGAAAACCATCATTACTTACCTGAGGAATATTTGAAGTCACCGAAACACAGCACCAACTTTTCCAACTGTTCACAACTCGCGATATTAACGATTCCACTGCAGATTTAAGGCTGCCGCTGAATCGCGCCGGTCCCTTTTATAGAGGGATTTTTAAATCTAGAAATTTCTACACTGGCAATTTCTAGAGAGCTTAGTCGATAACTTATCCTAGAATACTCAGTCGGTAACTTATTATCAGTCAAATTACAGCGATTCAATAGATGGCATTGAACATAACGATTTTTTGAAATCACGCCCCGGCTTGAGACCATAGACGTGCCCACATAAAAAAGTATCAACAATTGAGCGTAGAGTATGTGCAGCATGCGCTCATCACAGTACACGCGTGCTCAGCTCATGAACGGTCATTCTTGGATCACACAGATTTGAATGCTGTTTGTGATTGTTTTTGAGCTAGATCTTTTTAGACATGTGAAATTGTTATAATGTAGCATGTCGTGGCCCAAGGATGATAATATTCATCCTAATATTCTGCGGACTTTAGATACAAACGCTTGCTTTCTCGCAGTAGTAATAAGCAGTATTACTTGAGTGTATATAGTACCGTTAGGTATATTCCACATAGTTGATTTACAGTTAAGTTAACGTAGGAAACGTTAATTTTTACGTATGAAAATTCATCGGTGTAAAATAACTGTGTTCAATAAATGAAATCGACTTTTCCCTCAGAAAACCGAGGGTCTACTCACTCGCTGATTGAATGACACCATAATTTCGAAATTAAGTTGACTTCACGTGATTTTAGGGTTTATTTCAGTTATTTCGAGATTGATTTTAGTACTTTCGGAAAGAAATGAAATCAATGACTTCAAGTGGATCGCAACATGATTTCGTGACTGCAATTGACTTCGAATGATTTCAGTAGCGAAGTGGTAAACCGGTTGAAGTCGACTTATCTCCCAGTTGAGGTTTTGGGGAATATTTCCGAATCTAAGGGAGATGGCGAAATTTTCGTAATAACATTTGGTGGAGCACTCAATTGGCTCTATAAAAAAGGTTATAACAACAACTTTGCTATCTCCCTTAGATTTCGAGATATTCATTGAAAACTAGTCACTAGTCAAAATTGACTTGGACCGTTTTACCACTTCGCTACTGATTTCATAGATTCGAAATCAGTGATTTCGGTGGCAATGAAATAATTGAAACCACAATTAATAAAGTTCACTGAACGAGAGGGAGAGGGGTAGAATGGGCCGTTTCAAGTTTTCAAAATGTTCACACAATACAATTTAATTGAACTTGTTCTTATTTCAAAGCTTGTTGAGCAAGCTTTGAAATCTTGTTGGTAAGCAAATGAAAAACGGCCCATTGCACCTGTTTTCCCTAATAATCCACAATTCTAAACTAATTTCCAAACGTGATATTACTAGAAAGATACCGGAAATATTTCCTAGATTAATTATTTAATGTGTCTACAGTATTCTTTAGAAATATTTTTTAACCTCATTAAAACTGAAACCCAGTACCTGGAGAGCTCTATGAGACCTTCCAGTCACCACTCTCAGTAATCAGCGGCAAAGAAATTGTTTTTCGATAGCTTCATATGAATGTAACTGTGAACAGTCATTGGCTCTAATTTTGAGTAATGGAATTCATCTGCAAAATATACCAATGACACAGAACACTGATATTTTTTTATTACCACTAACACGAGCGTACTGGCTTGAAAATTCTCGACTTTACTGAATTTAAGGATATTTTTCCTGTTTAAACAGATATCAATCACCGATATTAACCCCTTGCGTACGGGCTCCTTGCCAGGCAGCGACCCTAGTCTAAATGCATAGCTCTCTTCGAATTTCAATATTTCCGAAACTATTGAAAATAATTTAACCAAGCAAGCAACATCAGCAAGAGGGAGACTGTAGGTTCAATTACATATCGGTTTCAATATTACCCATTCATTAACAGCGATCAGATTTGAGTGATATTAAGCGTCCGACGTGCTTGGTAACAAGAGCGCCTCGTACATGAGGGGTTAATTTCGTCACATTCTCTTATAAAACATTCATTGATATCAAACGATTTCAGTACACGGAGAGAAGAGCCATGGGAAAGAGTCCCATGTCAAATTTACGACTTGTATGTATTTCTAAAATTTAGGAAGCATTACTATGCTATGGTAATGATTCCTATGGGGTATGGTATTACATACTATCGGCCATGGTAAGTCTCTCGATAGGAATGAAGCCTATGAACATAGGGGAAATTACTATATTGAATAGTACCCTCTACCATGTTACAGGGTAGAGTGTACTATTAATTATGGTAAAGGGACCCATAGTCGTTTGGTAAAGCTTACCATAGTTTATAGGAGAGATTACCATGCACTATGGTAACGTGACCTATATTATATGGTAAAACGTGAAAAAGTCATAAAATGTCACGAATATAAAAGATAATGATCACTAAACTATATCATGATAATGATGAGTATAATGAGATAGAAATTTCAAGTGGGATATATATTTATAAATTTTTTTCTTCTCGTATACCCTTTCGGGTCTTTACGATTTGTTCCCTTCCCACCCCCCAACCCCCTGGAGTATTCTTGTAATTGTTGAGTAACAAGAATAACTTGATTATTTGGCTCTAGGATTACGATATTGATCAAATGTAATTGAGGACCAGCCTCGGTCGGCATCATCAATATTACGTTTTCCCTGATATCATGTCCCAAATAATTGAGAGAGCTTACTATTGTAATATCTCCAGATCGATTGGACGGGAGAACTGACAAAAAATGACGATAATTTGGATCTAATTCTAATCTCTTGTTAAGAGCTGGACCAGGGAGAAAAGGTGGTAGTAAAGACCTATTGATGAGTAACCGATAATTCAATTTTAATTGTGCCTTGATGGCTATTTTTAGCATTTTCTACGATATCGAAAAAAGGAGAGATTACTATGTATAAATAGTACTGATTACCATCCACATGGTAATCTCTCCTATAATAATGGTTGTCGTTGCTATATTGTATAGTAATGCCTACCATGTTCGAATGATATTGATTACTATATAACATAGTACGCTTTTCTGTTGAACATAGTAAAAATTGCTATTGAGATTGACTTAGAAACTCTTTTACCATAATTTATGGTAACCTCTACCATACAAAAGTAACCCCTAACATTCATTTTTCTCCGTGTAGGATTTCAAGACTAGATTTGAGCGTGTTTTCAGAAATGATTTCAGAAAGTTGAAATCATCACAGAGTGGCATCATGAAATCTCTCTCTCTCTCTTTCTTTAGTAAAAAAAGCTTACATTCGCACCCAAGGATTTTACAGTGTACAAATCACAAAGTGTCAAATTTTTGCAGTAAATACTTTCTGACATCGAATCTTCAATATTAAAAGAGAAAAGATTCTTCAAAATGTTTGTGGTTCTGAAGACAAAAGGGTGATAGGTATAGTCGCTGAGCGACACATGCATCGCTTCGCCTATGTATTGTGACCATTTCATATCGAAGCGTAATTGTAACGCATGGAAACTAATTTACAGTGCGTGGAAATTCGTTTTCATGGCTGGAGAAACGCATCTTGAAAAATTATTTTTGCCATCGCTGCTATGTTCACCTCGTGGCGAAAAGTGCCTTTTCGTTTACTCGTAAAGGAATTCCTTTGGTGTAAGTCCTTACGTGTAAACCAAAAAAGGCACAGTTTGCCACTCTTCCAATGTAACAGCAGTGACAAAATAGTATATTTCGATACGAGTGAGACTGAATTTTCACAAGTGTGGAGTTGGCGGTTCGAGGCAAAGCCGAGGGCTGCCAATCACACGAGCTGAAAATTCCCGTGTCGTGTATATCGAACAATTCAGAATCGCATGGTAAATGTGAGAGTTCCCAAGTGGGCTCTAAACTAACTACTCTTGGGGACCAACCAATTAAATCACTGGGAGTGCACCAATGATTCAGCATGTGGCCGAGCTGTGCCTTTTTCGTCTACAAGTAAACGAAAAGACTTTGCGTTTACTTTTCGTTTAAAAGTAAACGAAAAGGCACTTTTCGGCACGAGGTCGACGTAGCAGCAGTGTCAAAAAATATAGTTCGACATATGTATGACAGGGGGTTTTCAGCTCGTGTCACTGGCAGCCCTGGGCTTCGACCCGTGCCTCAACTTCGAACTGGTAAAAACCCATCGCACTTGTATCGAAATATACTATTTTGTGTTTATTTGGAAAAAATGACGTTTGCTCCCAGTGACTTACTTTTCTGAATCTAACCGATTTAATTTCAGTTCCATGCAGAGTTCGACGAGACGGTTTCGCACGGAGGACTAGATCCGAAGTTGTACAGCACATTCTTGCACTATCGTCCATCATCAATGGAGACCAGTGCAGTCAGCAAAGTTGCGGAACTTTGCAAGAATTCACAGTAAATAAAAAAAATCAAATCCCTATTGGAAATTGATCAACAATTCTTTTGATGCAAAATATTAACAGCGACAGATTTTACTAATAACTATTTAATGTTTCTCAGATTTCGCATAGCAAATAAATAAAAATTTAAAAACATGTGTAAATTCATTTTAGAACAACAATGATCAATTCAAGAATGACAATGTTTTTTTATTCAAAGCCCCCAAGTTTTTTAATTCCAGAACCAAGATTTCCATAAAATAAGAAAAAATATTGAGAATTAGAACTTTTTTCTCTAATTTTTAAGGAAAACTTTTAAAAAATGAGGGATAATTTCACTTATTTCTCGAAAGTTTTTGTTCGCTTGATTTCAGCACAACAGAGTTCTGAAATTTCCGCTTTTTCACTGGAAATTAGAAACTGTTTTCCTTGTAAGTTTCCGAAAGGTATTTTTTATCTAAAAAGGTCTTTGCATATTTTTTCATGTAATCAGTCATTTGAAGTATCAATTGAAGATAAACAGAGATTACATTTGATCGTACAAGACAATATTCTGAGTGGCGTTGAAAGCAGAATATCCTATTAAATTTATAATGCCCATTAGAAGAATAAAAGAATTTTATAAGATGTAATTTATCTTTAAATATGTTAAAAGTTAACATCAAATTTCATGAAAACTTCAGGTCATCAAAATCGCCATGGCGACGCCAATATTCCACTTACAACTAGTGAAAGTATTTCTTTAAATGTCATATTATGTGACTTCAATCAAGAATTTCCCATTTTTTCTTCTTACATTTTTCATGAAAAATTCTAATGTTGTATTGTAATGCTTTTTCTACGAAAATATTCTCATGTTCACTCTTAACTTGTAGGGTTCGATGTCACATCGTTCATTTATCAGCTTGCGAAGCTCTAAAACTTGTATCTGATGCGAAGAAAAATGGAGCTCCTCTCACTGCTGAAACATGCCACCACTACCTGACATTTGCAGCTGAAGAAATACCTGACTCCGCAACTCAGTATAAGTGTTGTCCACCAATTCGTAATCAAAAAAATCGAGTGAGTAATCTCAATACTTTCACTTTGTTTATAGGGATAAGAATCCAAAAGAATATCAAATTTAGTAGAAAATTTGTGGGGACTTCCATGGCGCCCAATATGATTGAGTAATGAGTGTGATGTGTGTACTCAGCATTATCGACTTAACTTTATGTCACTTCCTGCTTTATCTACATCTTCGCCTTTCACCCAAATATGGCGTACAATGTACACGTACATTAGAATATATTATTTTAATATCGAACAACATCGTATCCATATTATTGATTTCCTTACATTAAACATATCCATTTTCCTATAATAGTGGCGACGAGGATGGGATTCGAACCCACGCGTGAAAAGCACATGATTAGAATGGAACTTGACACTGGGTCCGATTTTTTCTAAATTGAAGTTGCTTGATTCCACCAGAAAATTTCCATCTTACACTGGATCTTCAATTATTCCTGTTAGGTTTATTGAATGTCAATGTTATTTATCAAGGCAAGCAAAAAAATTTACAGCTTTCTGTGTTACCAGGTACAAGTGGACCTATCGTTGGTCGTCAATGGGTCAGAGCATTGGGAATATCCTTGGGTATTTTTGATGGAAATAATGGAATCAGGAATGTTAATGAGAATGATTTTAATGTACACAACTGGGTAGATCAGTTTCCAATAGTTTTCTTTGATGATGTTTTGATTGTCGGTTCTACTCGTGAAGAATATGATGAAAGATTATCTCAGGAATTAAATACTTTCAAAGAATCTGGTTTAACTGCCGAAGTGGAAAAGTGTCAATTTTGCACTAATGAAATCAAGTTTTTGCGATTCAGAGATACTGGGGAAGGTGTTTTTGTACTCAAAGATAGAGTCGATGCAATTGTTGAAAAGCAACCTCCCACAAACGTGACTGAATTGAAGAGATTTTTAGGGATGGCGAATTATTATGCTAAATTCGTCGAGAATTACGCACAATCTGCTTCACCTCTGTACAATTTGTTGAAGAAGGATGTGGTTTGGTCATGGTCAGAGAAACATCAAAAGGCTTTTGATGAAATTAAGAGCAAATTGGTCTCAAGTGATGTTTTGGTTCATTATAATCCTAAACTTCCTGTCAAGATCACGTGTGATGCCTCACCAGAGGGTATTGGGGCAGTTTGTCACACATTTTGCCCAATAATTAAGTTAAACCAATTGCTTTCTTTTCAAGATCTCTTACTCAAGCTGAAATGAACTATTCCCAGTTGGATAGAGAAGCTCTTGCTTTGGTTTTTGGGGTGAAATCTAGCCATCAATTTGTGTGGGGCAGGTTTTTTGTACTTGAGACTGACCATAAACCTCTCACTTACATTTTTGATCCACATCTCAGTTTACCAACGATGGTAGCGGGACGAGTACAGAGGTGGGCAGTGTTTTTATCTGCGTATTATTTTGATCTGAAGCATATTGATGGGAAGTCAAATTTTAGTGCTGATTGTCTGCCAAGGTCACCAATTTTAAGGGAGGAGGAAGAAAAAAATGGTGATGATTTTACGTATCTGAATTGTATTGAGAAAGAAATGCCAATGTTTGACACTGATCTGGTTCGTTCGGAGACTGAAAAAGATGTGATTTTGAGTAAAGTAATTTTTTTTGTGAGAAACGGGTGGCCTAGTCATGTTGATGATGAGTTAATTACATACAAGAGAAGACAGAGTGAATTATATATTGAAGATGATTGTCTTATGATGGGTTTTCGAGTTGTTATTCCTTTATCTTTGAGGGCATTAGTTTTGAAAGAACTTCATGTAACCCATATGGGAATTGTTCGTATGAAAGCTCTAGCTCGTTCCGTTGTATGGTGGCCGGGCATTGATGGTGATATTGAAATCATTACGAAGAAATGTAAACTGTGTTTGGAAAATGCAATCAATCCACCAAGGTCTGAGTTATCACCTTGGAAATGGCCAGAAGGTCCTAATATGAGAATTCACGTAGATTTCCTGCAGTTGGAAGGTGAAATGTACTTGGTGATTGTTGATGCATTTTCTAAATGGATCGATGTGAAATTTATGAAAAACATCACAACCGAGAGGACTGTATTAATGTTGGAGGAGTGCTTTGCGACGTGGGGATTTTCTGAGGTTCTCGTTAGTGATAATGGTCCGAGCTTAGTATCGGAAGAGTTTGAGTCTTTCTTACATTCGTGTGGAATTCTAAATGTCCCAACTGCTCCTTACCATCCTGCTTCCAATGGAGCCGCAGAAAATATTGCGAAAATGTTCAAGAAACACTTTAAAGTACTTCTGAAAGAGGGTCGTAATGAGGAAATTGCTTTGTATAGTTTTTTGTTGAGCTATCGTTCTATACCTCACTGTACAACAGGTTGCACTCCTGCTGAATTACAAATGGGGAGACCCCTTCGAACTCGATTAGACTTGTTCAGAACCAATCTAAGGACTCATGGCAATCAACAACAAGCAAGACAGAGATTCTACGCTCCAGGGTCCAGAACTCGAATTTTTGATGTTGGAGAAATGGTAGTTGCCAAGAACTACATGAAGAACAAGTGGGTTCCTGCTAAAATCATTGATAAGAGCTCTCCAGTCACATACTCAGTGCAACTGATGGATGGTCGTACCAGTATGAAACATGTGGATCAGTTGAGAGCATTTTTGCTAGATGTGGACACTGACGAGTCACCTTCGAGTGTTACTAGCCCAGCGGATGGAGTTCTTGTTCCTTCTGGAATAGTTGAAGGTTTAACACAGAATTCTACACCGTCTGATGCCCAGTGCGATATCAGCACGGAATCACCTATTGAATTACTAAGCTCAACACCAAGTGAGTCTGTAGTTAATTCACAGTTTCGATCGTCTCCAACTGCCACAGTACCACCCAATGTTTCTACGTCAACTTCAAGTGAGCCAAAGAGTCCAACAGCTGCTAAATCTACTATTCGAGTAACTACCCCAGTTCCTGAGATTCGTAGATCAACAAGAGTTCACAAACCTGTACAACGACTGAATTTATAGGCGATTAAAGTTTTTCAAACGAGATATTTGACTTGAGTAATGTCTCATATATCAATATAGTTGTGAGCTTCATTCTTGTATTCATTTGATTGGTCATTATGAAGAAACGTATTAAGGATTATTTGGGATTTACGTGCGGAGGAATTATGATATATGTACTCAGCATTATCGACTCAACTTTATGTCACTTCCTGCTTTATCTACATCTTCGCCTTTCAACAACATCGTATCCATATTATTGATTTCCCGACATTAAACATATCCATTTTCCGCAGTATATAATAATGGGTAACATCAGTGTATCCGTAGAGAGCGAGGAGCTAATCACTCCGAAAAAAAGTGATTTCAAAAGAAATTTCAAGATCTCAAAATTTCAACGATTTTCGAAGTCTTTTTAGGGCTTCAAGGGATTTCAAGGGACTTTAAGCGAATTCATAGGATTTCAGAAAATTTGAATCATTTGAATCGAGTAAAGTGCCCTGGGAATCCAAGAGCCACGCTACAGCCACGGTATTTGCGTGACTGTTGCGTGGCTATTAGGATTGTCATTTTCTGGGGCTAAAAAGGGGGAAATGATATCTGAAAACAATAAAAGTGGATAGACGAATTATTAGTTTATATTTGCACTGTTTATAACATTGTTTTCTATCAATTGATTGAAATTAATGTGAGTGTATATAAGGGTGGGGGTCATTCTGCCGAAAGCGTCAAATTACCGACAGGGTCAAGTTACCGACACGGGTATGGCTGACGGAAATTCCCTAGACCATTTAAATGTGATGGCTCGTTTACAATAAAAATGTTCTGCTATTAATATAGGTTACGTTTTCCAGTGTCTGAAGGTTAAAAAACAGTTAATTTTATATTTTTTAATTAAAAAACTCTAATTTATCCGCGAAATGAGTAAGTGATGACAAAATTTGTGCTCATCATGTGGGATTACTCCGATTTGCACAAACAGTGAGTATTGCTCCAAATTAATTAATTCGTCAATTATTCATTAATGATTGCCCAAAAATAATCCAAATTAATTGGATTATTTTTTAGCAAAAAATAATAATTGGTAAAAAAAATTAGAATTCATCAATTGGATTAATTAATTTGCTTCAAATTAATAAATCCACAAATCATTAATTAA